TCAGTGCTCCAGTGCTCTGGGGCTTAGCAGCTGGTGCCCATTTCCCTCGGAGTCCCCTCCTCCAGGTTCTGTGCTCCAGTGTGTGCTAGTTACCTCCTCAGCCTGTCACAGAGCTGCCATCCTGGAACTGCCCCTCCCTGCTTCCTGGGTTGGGTCTTTTCCTGGCTTCGTTCTCTTCTTGCTTTCTTTACTCTATTTTTACTGGAGCACATCCCCAGTTAAGAATCCCTAACCAATACTCAAAAACAGAATGGTCTTTGGACCTCCTCATGGTAATACTTATACCTTTAGTATATATTAATTGGGAAAAAGTACGTAAGGACCAAAAATTACTGTAAAAGCACTGCTGCTTTAATGAATTGTGTTTTACTTGCCACAATAATATTAAGGAACAGTGAAAACCTGTGAAGAATTTGGGCTTAAAATTTGGTTTTGTTTTTGGCTGATTTGCAAAGTAATCTCCTGGGAGTCACTGTCCTAGTGGCCCTATGTGCGAATACTTAACTCCAAAGTTATTTTTTAAATTTATCTTTTAATTTCCTAATACAAATATATGATATAAAATTCAAAAGGTACAAAAGGGAATACGGTGCTGCAGCCTCCCAGTCCCCTTCCCTGAAAGGAACCACCATTCAGCTTCTTGTATGTCCTTTGGAAATATTCTGTACCAGCATCGTTCAATAGAACCATAATGGTAAAAACAGTCTATCTGTTGAATGGATAAAGAAGATGTGGAGTGTGTGTGTGTGTGTGTGTGTGTGTGTATACAACTCAGCCATAAAAAAGAATGAAATAATGCCATTTGCAGCAACACGGATGGACCTAGATATTATCATACTAAGTGAAGTAACACAAATATCATATGACATCACTTATATATGGAATCTATATGTGACACAAATAAACTTATTTGCAAAAACAGAAACAGACTCACAGACACAGAAAACAAACTTATGGTTATCAAAGGGGAAAGAGGGGGAGGAACAAATTAGGAGTTTGGGATTTGTGGATTCATATTACTGTATATAAAATAAACAACAAGGTCCTGCTGTATACCACAGGGAACTATAGTCAGTATCTTGTAAAAATCTATAATGGAAAAGAATACGAAAAGAACACAAAAAAAATACTTTTTGCTGTACATCAGAAACCAACACAACATTGTAAATCAACCATAGTTCAATTTTTAAAAGTCTACCTGTGTTGCCCAATAGAGTACTGTCAGTCACACACATGCCTACAGAGCACTTGAAATGTGGCTAGTGTAACTTGGAAGTGACTTTTAAATTTTACTTAATTTGCATTAATTTAAATTTGGATTTACACAGCCACATGTGGCTAGTGGCATAATCTACATATTGTACCACATCTTGCTTTGTTCACTTAACACACATATCTTGAAGATAGACTGTTTGGTCTGCCTTATTTTTAAAAGCCGCTGCATAATATCCTCTTGTAATCTACTGAGGTGATCCCTTACTCAGCCCAGAGAGCCATGGATCACCACTTTTAATAAAAAGTTCTGAAATCTTTTACATCATACCATCATAACCAACACATCTTGCAACAATTCTGGGTTCCTCATCATTCCACTTTTATCAGCCTGAGCCTGAGATATTTTGATATCCAATAGCCCCTTTTAGGGACTGGAGGAAACAACTTACCACGAGTCACTGCCCTAAAATACAATTTCCACCCACATGCCCTGTGCCTGGAATTCAATGGTGAGGGTGACATTCTTTAGGGTTAATCATGGGTCCCTTTAAGTGGGTCTCCTATAGATTGCAAAGTGCACTGGGCAAGGCAAAAATTAACGGAGAGCATCTGAGGCTGGTTTTGCTTTTGCTCTGATGAGAGGGACAAAGAGATGATGGAGAGGCCAAGGGGCTTTGTGAAGCTGTGCAGGTTCTGATGGTGAATCTCCCTGTTCTTAAAATTGTCCTTAAATTCATGTGGATTCCTAGGCTTGTGCCTTTGGGCAGCCTTCCTTTCAGGATATTTCAGGCAATGAGAACCTTTCCAGTCTTATATGGGCTCTAGAGAGCACATCTCACCAACCTGTTTTGATGTTTACCCAGTGTAGCCCTTTCTTCTCTGAGGTTCCTACGGGAGGCAGTGGATGCACAATTCAACATCAGACAGACCCGGGTACAAATCCCAGCTCCACAAGGCACAGCCCCTTGGCAGCTTATGGAGTGAGTGCACAGCAGCACATGCTGACCTTTGGGTGCTCAGTCTGTACAAGGAATCATATGAGGGGAATGAAGAAATGGCCTAAACTTCACTCAGAAATATTCCTGAGTCACCACTGGGCAGGGCTTGCTGCTAGACATTGGAGGGAGGAATGACATGTGATTCTTGTGTTGTCAGGGTTCCTGACTTAATAGAGAACAGTGCTTGGGTCTGCACACTGATGGACACTATCTTTCATGATGACAACAGGGAGAGTGGAATTTGTGCATTCTGCAGAACACTCATTTCTTCTACAGAACTAGGAATAACCTTACCAAAGGGTCATATGAGTGCTGAATGAAAATCACAATTGTCTACACAAATCCCAGATCAAAACTCAGTTACATCCTGGGATAGAATTTTTGACCCCGAGCACTCACCTCCCTGCATCCACCTTTGCCACGTCTCACTGTGGGCAGAGTGTACTGTCTCGTTCCCTGGCTGGGGGCTTTGGCCCATTCCATGGGCAGAAGTGAGAGAGTGCCAGCTCCTTGCCTAGGATGGAGGATGCCTGATGGGTTTCTGCCTTGCTCTCTTATGCCTCCCTTGGGTAGCTGCTGCCGCTTCAGCCTGGGCCCCAGAATGAACATACATGGAAAAGAGCCACGCTGGCTGATCTGCAGACCAGCAGTGAGGTGCAGAGCAGATCTAGCCAGCAGGGCATTAAAGCAGAGCTGTCCCAGCTACGCCACAGACTGGTGACAGTCGTTACTCCAACGCACTGAGTTCTGGGGTGGGTTTGTTATGTAGCACTCGTGTGGCAATAGTTAACCAACACGCGTACCCATTCTTTTATTAGGTTCTAAGTTCAGCTGCTGCAATAGAGACCCTACACAACAGTGGGTCTAATAAGAAATTGACTGGCCTCTATGTAAGAATCTGATTAAGTAAGTCCAGAGCTAGTTTGGTGACTCATGTGTCAGGGAGCAAGGCTCTATCATTCTCCGTGTGATCCTCTCCCACACGAAACCTTCATATCGTTCACAGATTGAAGTCTTAATTTCCTGACGCCCTGCAATCCAAAACACTCCACAGTGTGGCGCCAAACTCTTTTCCGACGTTACCCTCCAATACCTAAAGCCTCACCTTGAACCACTATTCCCACTTCTGCTTCAGGCCTCAGGACTTGTCTTCTTCTTGAATGGGTGTGCTCCCCTCATGCCCCCAAGCTGGTGCCCCACTGCCGCCCACCAGGTCTCAACATCTCACTCCTACCAGGGCCTCAGAAGCCAGAGCTGGTCGGACCTGGTGCTCCCCAAGAGTGAGAGGCCCTGACCTCCATGGGTGGGGGGCTGCTGTCCAGTGTCCAAGAGGAGAGTCCAGTCTGCCTCCAGTCATCCTTGCGTCCCTCTGCCCAGCCTCTCCCCTCCTCAAAGCCCTGCTGACCTCCAGCCCCGAAGAAGCCAGGAACCTCTGCACCCCCCACCTCCCTCCCTCCTTCTAGACCTCAGTAGTTTAGTGAGCGTAACAGGGCTTGTTAACATGGATCTGCTTCGGAGGTTGGCTCAGGAGAGGCAGGCATATTGGTTTGGAGAGTGACAGGCTCTCTCCTGGACCAAATTCAAGCCAGGTTCCCCTGAGACTTCTGGATTCAACCTTGGCCTATAAAGGCTTGAACAAACACTAACACAGTTTCTAACAGCTCAAGGACACATCCCTAGGATGACCCCAGCTCCCTGAAAAACAATCAAGGATGCCTGAAGAATTGGCTGTTTGTTCCAGCCAATGCCTGAAGGGAGGGACCTGGTCTCTCAGCTTCTGTGAGAGGGTAGGAGCCTAACTTTGATAAGTGACAATTAGTCAACACAGATGGGTTTCACGTGACCAACGCCCCGCCCTTCCTGCCTTTTGCAATCCTTCGCCTCTCTCACTCTACGGAGCCCCCCTCCCCCTTCCTAGCCCCTCATTCTCCCTTTAAAAACCTGGTCACCTCGGGTGCAGCTGAGTTCAGTTTACGATGGACCCTTTTCCTGTATTATTGCTACTGTATATTATTGATTGGAATCTGTCTTCACCACTCTAAGAAGTGCCTGTCTTTGTTTATTTTTGAAAAGGGGCGGTGTCCAGGACTAGCCTTATTATTTATTCATTTAATACTCTTTTAAATAAGCACCCCAGGGATGTTTCAGTACAGAGGTCTACAGATCATATTTTGAGAAATTGTATTTCTCTTTTCATAATTATATGGGTGCCATTTCTCTGGCAGCCCTTTTGAACGGGAGCTGTATTTTCTGACTGTGTCCCATGGCTAGCACTCCTGCAGGGAGGGAGCCTCTGGGTATGCCCCACAACTATAGGGACAGGCAGGCAGGGAACACGTGTACCACGGTAATGGAAACTGCCCGAGGACAGAAGTGATGACAGGAGAAGGGGAGCCTGCTCTTCACCGACCCCGCAGGTACCTGCTCAGCTAGTTTTCTGCTGAGTCACTGAAAAGGGGGAAACAAGTGAGTCTCCAAGGCCTTTTGAACTCTTTCTCATCACTTCCTGGATTCCCGATACTTCACTGACCCCCCACCCCATCCCCAGGTTACACTTGGACCTTATTATCATCTGGAATCTGCCATTAAAAAAATCTCAAAAGTCCAATTTTCCTTCTCCGAGCATAAGTGCTTGTCCTTCCAGTTCTCACTCATGTGTACTCACCATACACGTGCTTCAGCTGCATCAAAACCTCTGGTCTGGAGCCCCATTTTCTCCCAGTTCCTAGCCCACCCCCCAAATTGATCTCTTGGCCTACTTACAAGTCACCTTCAAAGTACTCTAAAACTCAAGCTTGATCATGTCTCTTCTCTGCTTAAAACATTGCAGTCTGTGCTGTTTGGCAAAGCCCATGTGCTTTTGCCAGGCCCTTCGGGACTGGTCCCTTGCTCCCCACACGGCCTCACACACTGCCTTTCCCTCCTCATTCTTCGTGCTCGGGAACACCTGGGGTTTCACGCTTCTCACCGCTGTACTGTCCTCCCGTGTGGCTTTCTTCCTCTTCCCCTCCTCCAAGCCATCCCTCACATTTACTCCTTTCCAGCCAACCAAGAGCCAAGCCACTTCTTGGCACACTGCCATTGTCACGTCAATGCACTGTCTTCCATGTACATCTGCAGGGGTCTGTCCCTCCTCCCAGTCTTAGGAGTGCCTGGAGGACAGGGGCTGTGTCCTAGCCAACTCTTCCTCCAGCACCAGGCACAGTGTCTGGCATATACCCCGGGCCCAGGTCAAGTCCCACCTTTTTCGTGGACTCTCCCCAGCTTCCTAACCTTCCCTTCTCTGAACCCTGCAACCTTTCTGTGTCATTCTTGCCCTATTCATACATTGCCTCATTTCATTTAGCCTTTTAAAAATGGCTAAATTGTCTGACAGATTTCATTGGAATCAGTGAGAATTTTCACATAGTAGCTGTTGGCCTTGTATCTCCCTCCCTTGTTCTATCACTCAGATTTCAGTAAGGAGCCGGGCTCAAGCTAGTTTGCCCGTCAGGAAGATGGGGACAGAGGCAGCCCTAGGCAGCCATGGTTTTCTGAACCAGCTGACTCCTACAGCCAGGGGTGTGTCCCTGACCCAAGGAGAGACAGCCTGGCCAGGTGAAGTCTCTGGGTTCTGGCAAAAGCACTGCCCAATCTGGGTCAAGCTGGGCAAAGCAGAACCTTACTCTTGGGCATTTTTATTTAGCAATATGGTAGGGTAGCATTTGAGACTAATAAAGAATTGTGCAAATTTGAGGTAGTGTGACATAAAAAATATTACCTAAGCCTCACTCTGTGTACCAACTTTGAAATAATGGGAACACCCCCAAATAGGAACCTGGAGCTACTTGGAATCCTGGTCCACACTTTGGGAAGCCCAGCAACATGAGGGTCTTTATCCTTGGTTTCTTGTCAGCTCTGTCTTCGTGTCCTCCTCTCTGGTTGACATCAACCCCCCACTCATTACAGAGTCTGAGCGGGCATGGGGACTTTCTGTTCTCATGACCTAATGGTGTGACCCAAGTGCCTAGTACTGCACCTGGCCCAGAGCAGGTGCTCAGCAAACAGCTGTCATCATTCTCCTCGTTGTTGTTGTCATTGTTATTGATCATTCAGAATTTCTTTTACTCACTAATGTTCCTTAACCATCACTGG